TTTGTGGTACGCGGGCCTCTCACCGCTGTGGCCTCTCCCGTTGCGGAGCACAGGCTCCGGACGCGCAGGCTCAGCGGCCACGGCTCACGGGCCCAGCCGCTCCGCGGCATGCGGGATCTTCCCGGACCGGGGCACGAACCCGTGTCCCCTGCATCGGCAGGCGGACTCTCAACCACTGCGCCACCAGGGAAGCCCGAAATTGGAGATTTTTGATACTAAAACTGTGCTTCAAGAAACAAAGAGAGAAAAAAATGACGAACTGTACATATGATAGTCAACCATGAATGCAAAATAAAAGCCTGAGTGAAAACTTCTCGTTGTAACCGTGCAGTAGGAGATGAAGCTAAATACGCTGAAAATACATCATGAGGAATTTGACCGGACTGTAAGATTCTTAGTGGAATTGATGTGAGTGATAAAGGAGATAGGATGAGAGGCTGAAGGAAACCATCTACAAAGCTGAGGCTTCCCAGAAGAGACTCGAGCTTTGGGATCAGGAGAGAGGAATAGGGCCCTCCACTTCTCAAGCAGAAATTGTTGCCAGAACACTGTCACTTAACCGCTTAGAAGATTGTTGTGTTACCATGTATGCCTCCACTGTAGGCTAATTAGTAAAAAAAAAAAAAAAAAAAAAATCTGTATTTGAAATTTTACTGATTTGAAGTAATCTTATAATAGCTTGCCTTTTTGTTTACAATTTAACACAGTGCAGTAACTTAATTTGCCATACTTTGTTTCACAAATATTTAAATACCAAAGCAGCACTTGTAAACAAAGGATTACTAAAAGAAGTTACTTTGATACAGGACTACATTAGATGTTTATTAAGAGAGTGCTTGACTCTTCTGGTGACTACTGGTAATTAGTCAACTTCAACGTGTTGTGAATATGACCTGTGAATATACTCCATCATGTTCAAGATGACATAGGCTAAGCTTATTACTACCACCTGCCTTTCTGGTTACTTTCATATTTAGGGAATATAGAACCACATTCTGGGGGATTAGAAATCACCTAATATTATATTAATGAAAAGTTTTCACAGTTCTCAAAATAATTCAGAATTTAATAAAATTAATGTTGTCTTTAATCAGCACTTAAAAAGTAGACTATTTCCTGTCTCCTGGATAAATGGATGTTTGCAACCAACCACCTCTAGAGAAGGAGAACATTAATGGTTTTGAATGACTCAATTCATGGATACAGTTATGCCTGTAACTATTTTCCACTGTGAATAAAGATGCCTTTTAATAGATGCCTTTGGGTTCAAAGGTCATGTTACTTGCTAACAAATTATTCTTTGGGCCAGTAAGTCTCTGAAAAATTTTAACTGAATTTCTCATACATCTCATGCCTCTAGCTTAGTGAGCATTATTTATTATTTGATGTAGAAATTCCATATTAATCACTTCATGCATATTTTATTTTTGGATTTGAAAATTTGCGATCTTAGAAGAACTGAAGCTAGACTTTAAGGCACGGGCATCTAGCATTATTATTTTACATTTTAAAAAGAAACCTAGATTACATGTTGATATAATATTTTGAATATATTGGGCTAAATAAGATATATTATTAAATTATAAACAAAAGAACTAGGAACTTTGTGTCACACCTAATTTGACACGTGGTTACTTTTTGAAATGCACTAAATTTCACAAATACTTAAAGTATTTCTTGAGTACAGTGTTATGTTCAGTTATTATGGTCTTGATAGCTAAACTTATGACAATTTTAGTTTGCTCACTCTGTACTTATTCATTCAGCAAATAAGCTATGACTGTTCCAAAAAAAAGGAAAGAAGAGGTTCAGCCCAGTCCAATTACCAATTATAAAGACAAATCAAAAGTTTCGGCTGTTACATATTCTTAGGCCGAATTGTTGACGCCTGTTTTGACTGCCTATCCCTGGGGTTGCTTCCAATATTACAGGTAATCAGGAAATAACCAGTGTAATTCCTTCTCTCACCACCTGGACAGGAGAGCGTTATATATGCCCTCTGCGGTTGGCAAAACTCAAGGCGTCAACGATCGGGGAAGGGCTCCACCTTGCGAGTCATTATACATATTGTGATCCTGCCAAGGGTCAGAAGCTACAAAATACAGTTCCCCTGCGTGGACGTCTGAAAAGTTAGCCAGAAATTCCCGGGGATTGAAGCCAACCCACACAGTATACCTATAGTCTACTGTGCGTATGGAATAGCCCATGACCTTTATATCTTTTAAACTCGGCTTGTCAGAATTCCACTGAGGAGAGTCTGCAGGCCGGGGGTACTGGCTATAGGCCACCAACTCACGGGGATCACCACGGATGTACGAATCTTCTTCCGAGTCACGGACCTGAAAATACTTCAGGAGGTTCCGGCCTTCTCGGCACAGCTCCACGTGAAACGAGGGGATGGGGCAGCGAGGAGGGACGGGCAGCCCTGCAAGTCCCGCGAGCGTGGGGAAGAGAGAGAGCAGTTCCACGAGGTCCCTGGCTTGCCGGCCTGAAAGAGGAAGCAGCCCGGCGGAGGGGGTTACAGCGCAGAAGCCTGCTGCAGCCAGGCAGCACGAGCAGAGCACACGCCCAGGCCCTACACGCCGACTTCTGTTCTTTTACAGCATTTATTCTTAGCCCGAGAGTTTTAGGAACAAAGCCGACTCGGCACCTCACCCGATAGCAGGGCAGAATGAAGGTGCCCTCAGCCTGCTGGCACTTTTAAACACTATTTGAATTTAGGACCCACCAGTGTTTGAGTGATTCAGGCAAGGGTCATCGGTGGAGGCCCAGACCACTGGGGAGAAGTCTGTTGAGGACAGGCTATTCCGAGCCTCATAGTAGCATCAGCCCGCGGATCACTCCATTTTGGAAGTCTGCACTTGATCCATCGCCCTTTTATTATTGTAAAATACACACGACATAAAGTTTACCACCTTAACCATTTTGTAGTGTCCGGGTCGGTGGTGTTAAGTACAGCCCCACCATCCATCACAGAACTCTCTTCACCTTGCACAACTCCCCGTCGCCACCCCCCAGCTCCTGGCACCCACCCTGCTACTTTCTGTCTCTATGTGTTGACTACTCTAGGCATGTGTATGGGGACACATCTAGAGTATGTGTCCTTTTGTGCCTGGCTTCTTTCACTTAGCATCATGTCTTCAGAGAGTCCACCCATGTCGTCGTAGCACGTGTCAGAGTTTCCTTCCCTTTAAGGCTGAATGATATCCCATTGTATGGACGCGCCACGTTTTGCTTATTCATTCATCTCTCAATAGACACTCGGGTTGCTCCCCACCTTTTGGCTATTAATTAACGCCATGAACATTCTTCTGCACGTTTCTCTTTGAATGCCTGTTTTCGATTCTGTGAGCTATATGCCTAGGAGTGGGACTGCCGAGCCACACGGCCAGATTCTGTTTAACCTTTTGAGGAACCACCAAGCTCTTTTCCACAGCGACTGTACCATTTTACATTCCCGCCTGCAATGTCTGAGGGCTCCAATTTCTCCACACCCTTGCCAGTACTGTTGTTTGCTGTTTGTTTTGATAACAGCCGTTCTAATGGGTGTGAAATGGTATCTCATTATGGGTGACTTATCTTTAAAGTCTAAATCCTACACTATATTGACTCCTGTTAAAATTTATTGTGACCTTGGACCATCATTCTAGCCTTTCTGGATCATTAAGCGCTTGCTCTATACGGCTCAATTTTATTTCTGATGCATTTGGTTTGTAAGTAAAAGAAAAAGAAAAAAGGTGAAGAAAGCTTTTTTGAAAGATACCTTTACAAGGGTAAGACCTGGTGACACAACTGCCTTAACCAGGCCGCCAAGCTTGGCATCACTAATAATGGCACAGGCCGCCATGAAGTGCCCCCGATGGGATACGGCTGGAGCCACAACCTCACATGTGTGCACGCGTCCGAAGTGTTCACCCTGCATCTAGTCCCGAGGAAGCAATCAGACAAATCCAGGCTGTGGGTCGTTGTACAAGACAGCCGCCCCGGACGCTTGAAAGACACGAGGTCAGGGAGATGCGGGGTCCCAGAGGACGACAGGTCTTGTCGGCCACTGTAAGGACTTTTTACTCAGACTTGACACAGGAGTGTAGGAGGCCCCAGAGCAGGGCTGTGACACCACCTGACTTGGGTTTTATCAGGCTCACTGTGGCTGTTAACATCAGGATCACTGAGGAAAAACTCCAGGGATCAAGGTCACACGCAAGGGGAGTCTAGCAAGAGATGGTGGCAGAGTGTGTGGCCCATGGTGGTGACGGTCGGTGGGGGGAAGTGGTGTGGACATATTCTGAATGGAGAGTGACAGGCCTGCTGACACACCACGAATCGCGTACAGACTACGACAGAAAGACAGGGGCCGATGGCCCCATGGTTTTGTGGCCTGGGCAACCACTGCCATTTCCTAAGACGGGGAAGAGTGTCAAAAGAAAGGCTTAAGGTCAAATGTTCAGCTTTGGGCATGTTAGACTGGCCAACTGGGACAGGCTGTTGGAAATCCAAGTCCAAAGATCAGGGAAGACATACAGGCTAGAGATAAAATTTGGAAAAAAGCAGGATGACAGTGCAGTTACATCAATTTACAACCTGAACACCTCCCAACTGAAGTTTCGAAAAAGGATTCTCAACCTGTCAGAAGATTTCTCCCAGCAAATAAAGGGCTATAATCATGCCCTGAAACTGTTCAACATTTTTATCAATGACATGGAAGAAGACAGTGCATGCAGCACACAGAAATTAAATGTGTGGAAAATAAAATTGGGCCGTAGAAAACAAACTCGGGAAGATCCAGAAAGGCCAGAATGATGGGCCAGAACCAGGAAAAATTTAAACAAGAATCAATAGAAAGTGCAGGATTTAGACGTTAACAAGATGGATTAAATGCAGAAGTTCCGAAAGGGAGCAACCTGGTTTAGTAGAGTTCACAGCAAAAGCGCTCCCAAAACAGTAAATGCCACCTGAAGTACACGACTCAGCTCTGTGCTGAGCAGATCGAGTCAGGAGACAACTCACAGAGAACCCACACAGGTCGACCCCCATGGCAGGGACGGCCATCTTGTCCACGTGATGTTTCCAGAAGTGCTTTCTCAAACTGGAGCTTTTTGGAAGACAAAGACCAGGATAGCCAGGGGCCTGACACTACCTGGAGAGGACCAGCTTGGGAGGACTGGGACACGGAGGTCAAAGTAAACTTGCCCTTCGCTCCTGGGGACAGCAAAAGCAGAAGCACTGATTTGACAGAGCCAGGGCTTCAGCAGATGGAGATGCTGCTGAGCTGAGTCCCGGCCAGAAGTGAGCAGGTAATGGAGTTCTGCTCACCGGTAAGCAGGCAGCCCCTGCCCCAGTGGAGTCTGCTAACCCCTCCTCTGATCTCAGAGCACACTGCCGTCACCTCTACGACGGCCCTCCCCATCCTGGGGGTGGAGCCAGCTGCTCCTCTGTCCCTCCCCCTCTCCAAGCCCCTGTGGACAGGGGCCATACTCATTAGCTCTGGGCCTGCCAACACAGCCAAAAATAAACGCCCCGCGCAGGAAGGCCAGGTCAGGCAGCATTACTCCTGAATTTTCATACCTGGCTCCACTGATTCTGAGATGGAATCAAAAGGGTCGAGGTATGGGAAAAGCTTGTCGCCTGCTGCCGGAAGTGGAGCCGTCCTTCCCGGAACATAGAACACCAGGGGCACACGAGTAGTGACGTCAAAATTGCTGTATTTGGCCCATTCTCCGTGTTCGCCTAGAGCCCACCCTGGTTCATAAAAAGCACACAGAATGACAGAAAAAGAATAATCACCTCGTGGCTTGCTCATTTCAGTTAGACACCATTTCATTCCCTGTTGTTAAAGCCAGAGGAAGCAAAACCTGATCGTCTAGAGGGCGTGTACCACCAAAACAGGAGCTGTGAAACTGTGGCACAATCGCTCAACTTTTAAAAATAGTATCTTTTTCAATTTTTAAGACATACCACAGACCAAGAAAATATAACTTCTGATTCCAGACCCTTAATCTTGATTAAAAACCACCCCCAACCCTCATTTAAAGCAAAAGATAGTTTGAATACCCCAAGATGGAACTTTCCAATCACTTCATGTGAGTGCCCTTTTTGATATGAAAAATATAAAAGAGACTGTATGTTGAGTATTTCGTATTAAAAAGTAACACAAACTACTAAAAGCTGCTGTGCATGGGTTCAAGAAGGCTTCTGTGGTTCGGATGTAGGCAGTCCCAGGAGGGCCTTTTGAGAAGGGCCATTTATAATCAGCTACAGCTGCCTCTGAGCCAAAGCGAGCTCCGAGTGACCCTGCCTTCACGGGGGTACAGTGGACTGTGGAAGCACTGGTGGAGAAAACTGGGCGCTGAGAAGAAGGCCCGGAAGGGGATGGCAGACCATTAGGCAAACGGTGAAAAATTACACCTCCACACTTAACAATACGGGTCTTTACAAGGTGCAAGGTAGGCCTGTGAGAAATGACACGGAGAACTGTCTATGACATTAAGTGGAAAAAACAAGCCAGGGAACAAAACAGAACACAAGCACCATCAATCCTGCCACGCTCCACGACGATACGTTACGCACATACACTCATGACATATAGCCCCATGTATATGCACGACTGAAGGCAGGTGGATGGACCCCCGATCTGTCAGCACCAGTTAGCTCTGGGCAGGTGGGATAAACGGCAGGGTGCTCTGGCCCTACGTGATGTGCTCTGTATACTTCTTTCTTGTTACAGTGAGCACATGCTACGCTCTAACACTGTCCCACTTCATATTCGACGATATTAGAGAACTCTTTTCCTGCTTCTAGGTAGGATGACGGCAGTGTGGTTAAACTTCAAAAGAGCCAAATTTGGGCTTCCCTGGTGGCGCAGTGGTTGAGAGTCCGCCTGCCGATGCAGGGAACACGGGTTCGTGCCGCGGAGCGGCTGGGCCCGTGAGCCATGGCCGCTGAGCCTGCGCGTCCGGAGCCTGTGCTCCACAACGGGAGAGGCCACGACAGTGAGAGGCCCGCGTACCGCAAAAAAAAAAAAAGAAAGAGCTAAATTTATTAGAAATACTGTTCAGAAAACTGAACCACCTGAGACTGGCTTCAAAACAATTTGGGGGTGAGGGAGGATAACCGGGGCTCACTGGCCTCAAACACACCCTGGCCAAAATTAAAAAGAATTTTTTTAAAAAGATGTTTCCACTTTTGGAAAAAGTGAGAAACTGCCTTAGAAGAGACACAGAGTTGTGAACCCCAGGCTCCTGGCAGAGAGGACAGCGGGGCTGGGGGTGGAAGAGGTAAGTCGGGTCTGAGGGCCTTGTTGGGCTCTGCCAGGATTGTTCTGGATCTTCGTAAGAGAAACTAAAACTCCTCCAACCCTCTAGGTTAGAAATGGGTCAAAGGGGCTCCTCACACAAATGGACGGCTCCCGCTGAGCTCACCAAGAAACAACAGTTACTACAAGGTCCCCCCACCCACCCAGCTCCACCACCCAAGCCCCCAAGATGCCTCTTTGACCCAAAAGAGGGCCCGCCTCCGTGGAGAGAAGTCCCAGGACTAACAAGGTGGCCATAAAAGCACCCAAGACTCCAGACTCAGGGCACTGCTGGTTCACAAAAGAGAATACACACCTATTTCAGGCAGTCTAGGAAAGTTTCCACAGAAAAGGTCAGATGCTTTGAGCAACTCACCTGGGCATTTCAAAACGCTTACCGTGATCCGAGGTGAGCGCCACAATCGTGCTGCTCGCCAGCTGAAGATCGTCCAGAGCACTCAAAAGGTGGCCAACCTGCGTATCCAAATATGAAACACAGGCAAAGTAGCTCTGGCGGATTTTCCGCTGCAATTTAAATAATAATAATAATAGTGAGAGTGACTGTAAGCTAAAATGCATGGCATACCCAGCCTCAGTGCTCACCTGAGCACCCCTCCCGAGCCCCAGCCCACGGGTGCCCTTGATGACCTTCTTAGCCAAAACAGAACACTCCTTTCCCTGCCATCTCACCCCCACCCCCCACCCCATACAGCCACAGCGAAACCCGCACGTCCACGAGGAGGATTCTTTGCTAAGCAAATCAGTTTTCACTTTAGGGCACAGATCACAGCACATGGATGTGCCACTTACTATTCCTTTCTGTCTCCTTCACATACTCTTGCGGGTCCCAGGAGACAACCATGTACACAGAAACCGACCCCTCAGCCTTCCAAAGTCTGCTGAGGGTCACACCAAAGATACCATATAGCTGTATTCATTTCCTGGGCCGCTCTAACAAAGTATGATAGACTTGGTGGCTTCAAACAACAGAAACAGACCGCCTCCCAGTTCTGGAAGCCAGCAGTCTGAACTCAAGGTGTCGGCAGAGCCTCTCTGAAGGCTCCAGGGGAGGAACGTTCTAGCTTCTGGTGGTGGCCACAATCCTTGGCACGTCTTCTCACAAGGACCCCAGCCATACTGGGTCAGGGGCCAGCCCACGGCAGCATGACCTCATCCTGACCAGTCATACCTGCAATGACCCTATTTCCAAACAAGGCCACATTCTGAGGCCCTGGGGGTCAGGACCTCCACGGATCTTTCTGAGGGACGCAACTCAACTCTAACAACGGCCGTGAGTGGGCCTCTCCCCTGAGCTCTTCGTAACCCAGCGGATGGCAGCCGCTTCCCTCACAGCCTGTGGCTGGCACGCGCGCCTCTGTCCCAACAAACTGCCCACAGGCAGGACAACGGTGGCAGAGGAGGGACAGCAGCCCACCCGCCACGGACCCCCCCACCCCAGAGCGGCTTTCGGAGCAGACAGGCTCCGTGAAAGAGCCGTAGCCTCTGCTGGGCTGGCTCTTCCCCCGCCTTGTTCACAGATCTTAAAGAAAAAGATGAGTCCCCTACCCCTGCCACAGGGGAGAAGCGAGGGAGCTGCCGAGCGATCAGACCAGCCCCAGCTTCCGTGTGTCCCAGCTCGTCCTATCAGCTGGACCCGCGGTGAGAACAGTCATGAGACTCGCCCCCTCTCCCCAGGTGGTGAAGACCATGGATAACCATCTCACCTTCTAGAAGGATTACGCTGAGCCCTGGCTACTTCCCCCTTCTGGCAGATAAAAATCTCCAGTCTGTAACTTGGGGAACTTCGGTCCTCCTGGGGACCAGACACCTGTCAGGATGGCTGTGTACTAGTCAAGGGCACGCCTTCCTTCCTATGCGGGCCCCTGGAGACAGGAGAAGCAGCAGATGTGGTCGCCAACCTCACTGAGCCACCCGTCCAGTGAGGACAGGCATGGAGACAAGAAAAGGTGCGTTACTGGTGGGGCCCAGGGACGACCCTGGAGGATGAGCCCTCGAGTCGGCCTGGGGAAATCGGGGGAGGCTTCACAGAGGAGTTAGCATTTGAGGAAAGGAGCTGGCAGTCAGACAAGCGGGGGTCGGATGCCCTAAGCAGGGGCTGCAGAGCGTGGAACAGTGTGGAGTCACCGCAGGCCAGGGCACGTTTTGGGCCAGCAAGCTGACCAGTGTGGCTGGAGAGTCACATGGGAGCGCCGGGGAGCAGGACAGGACGCTGGAAAGGAAGGTCACGGCTAGATGATACGGACCCAGAGGGTCCATCCACGGAGTGGAGGTCTCGGGTTGGAGGCCAACGAAGGCTCCGAGGTCACCCGAGGAGAGGAAGTGACACAATCTGGGCTGCAGGCGAATGAGGGTCCCCCACCGAGAGCCCGGAGCAGACGCCAGGGGCTCGAGGGGAACCAGCAATAGATCAGCGCTGCGCGCACGGGGCAACCTCCACGGTTGCTCGTTGAAGCGACAAACCAAGACCAGACCACTGCGGTGGTCCACAAAGTGGTGCCGAAGAGGAATTTAGGGAGACGGGGTAGGAGCGGGGGAGGGAAAGGAGCTGAGGACCCCAAAGGGAACGCCAGGTTTCTCACCAGGCTGGCAGCACGATTCAATGGCGCGGAGGGGGCGGGGGCACAGGAAGAGGAGAAAAGGAAGAGCAGGAACGGCGGCGCAGCCACATGGGGCCTCTAGCAACCAGTGGACAGACAGACAGACACGTCTGGAATCAGGACCGTGGGGCTGGAGAGGCTGTTCCGGGGCTCATCCACAGCAGGCTCGGCGGGCAGGGCTGGGGGCGAAAAGCATAAACAACACCGGGGGTGGCCCTGGGCTTGAGCCCAGAGGGCAGCACCTCCTAAGCGGCAGACACAGAACGAGGGGCCTGCCCTGGGGCCTGCAGTGGAGGGGGCCCAGGAGGCTTGGCAAGGAAGCCCAGGAAGCAGACATTTCCAAAAGGCGTAGCTCTCTCAACAGTGAGAGGGCAGCAGGGATTCAGGGAAGGTCAGGACCCACGAGGCTGGATTTTATTTGCCAGTGAGATCAGGGCTGACCCAGATGAGAGAACGCTTAGCGGGATGGGGAGGCAGGAGGCCGCACAGAGGTGGACGAAGAATGAAAGGGCAGTGAGGCCACAGACGCAGCAGAACAGAGCACGTCGCACTCATTCTCCCGTGGAGGGCAGGCGAAGGGGAAGGAAGGGGAAGAAACAGGCAGGGCCCAGGGAGGCGGTACTTCTGAAGATGCGATGGATGGCAGTGGATGTAAAGGCTGTACGGAAGTTGGGAGGAGCTGGCAAGGAGGGGGAACGGGGTCGGAGGGGCCGAGTCCCTGCTGCTCTTCTCCTGAGACCAGGGAGAAGGCCGCAAGCTCAGCACACAGGCACGCACAACTCTGGCTACAAGTGAGGGAGGTTATTTACAGCTCCCGTTTACCAAGTACCTGCTGGGTGCCATCTGATCCTCTGAACCACCCCAGAAGGTGAGCATTACCACTTCCATCTTACACAGGAGGACTCTGAGGCTCCGAGAGGTTGATTAACTTGCCTAGAGACACACAGCTGGCAAGGGGCACAAGCAGGATGTGTACCCATGTTCAGCCTGTGCCTTCCCCTTCCTCAGACTGGTAACCAGCCTCTGCCTCTGAAACAGGAAGTACAGTCATCTGCTGAGAGACGAGGCAGAAGGGCGGGGGGGGCGGGCGCGGGGGCAGAGGGACGTGGTGAGGGTTCAGAGCAGCTGCAGAGGGCAAGAGGGAGCCGAGCAGAGGACTGAGCATGCGAGCATGTCCCTGCCTCAGGACGCGGGCTTGAGAGCAGACAGGGTGGCCGGACTGTCCTGTGGTCAGGGTATTGCAGTCAGGACGAGGACAGAGGGACGCACGTGCTCAGGAGCTGGCGGGAAGAGTAAGTGACCGGCCACGGGGCCTCAGCTATCCAGGGAGGGAGCAAAGCCCAGAGGGGAGCTGGACACGGGTGAGAGGGGGCCACACACCAGCGATCCCCGCGTGGCCCCAGGCTCACGCACGCGGCACTGAGTTAGAGGGCTGACGGCTGAAGGGGGCGCAGAACCCAGAGGCTCAAGACCCAGAGCTACAGGCAGATGATGAGCAGGGTCAAGTGCAAGGTGAACGTGGGGCGGGGATCAGCACACGAGCACACCAGGGAGGTCCTCTGGGTCACACTGTGAACCTGTGTGTCCAACTGGGCAGCTACACCACCAGTGGGCGTGGTGAGAGGAGGGGCTGAGACAATCGGGAAGGCACCCTCGCCGTGCAGCCGACACTGCCCTAGACACCCCCCCCCCACATTCACTGTGGTCCCCGCTGAAAACCTCCAGAGCAGCTGTCATCACGGAAAACCTTCCCCCATCTTGTGTCGACTTTGCAGATAAGGACACCGAGGCTCAAGGAGATAGGATGACTCATCGGCAGCCATGCGGCTGGTGTGGGGTAACTGGAATTCGAACCTAGACTGGTCAGAGCCAGCGAAACAAACGCGGCGGCTCTGGCATCACACCTCCCAGGGGGCGCTCCTCCGCAGTAACTGCGTGATCTGGGCAAGTCTCTAGTGTCCTTACCTGGACAACAGAGACAGCAGGCCCCCCGCTAGGGTCCAACGGGGACCAAAGTGCACACACAAAACGCTGAGCACCCTTCCCGGTGTGGAGTCCAAAATTTAAAGGGTCATCGGGAGTGACTGTCACTAACGCGATGTCCAGGCGCAGCCTCAGGGCTGCAACTCCAGCAAACCCCGCTCTCAGAACCCCTGCGGGGGGAAGTAGGAACCCAACAGACCGACGGGCCCGCTGCTTCTCAAACTCTCACCACTGCCACCCGAGATGCAGGGTTGTGCAGCCCTCCTCGCTCAAACCCTTGCCGGCCGAACACAGGGGCCGGAGAGCAAGAGACAGCTGGGCAGTCTGTCTGGTTTTGTTTTGTCTCGACACGTAGCCTACGGCAGCGGTTCTCAAACTTCTGCCTGTATTAGAATCACCAGGTGTGTGTTTTTGGAAATGCAGGTTCTCGGGCCCCACTCCCAGCCTCCAACTCCCTGACTCTGAGTGGGACCAGGATGCCGTGCTTCTAACGAGCCCTCGCGGGGGTTCTGACGCAGGCGGCCCAAGAAGCACTGTGAAAACGCTGTCCTCTTCTTTCCTCTGTAGACGGGCTGCTGGAGTGTTCACGTGCTAACAGAAAGGCAGGGCTGCATGTGGAATATTCCAGAAAGAGGGCTAGGGTCCAACGGGGACCAAAGTGCACACACAAAACGCTGAGCACCCTTCCCGGTGTGGAGTCCAAAATTTAAAGGGTCATCGGGAGTGACTGTCACTAACGCGATGTCCAGGCGCAGCCTCAGGGCTGCAACTCCAGCAAACCCCGCTCTCAGAACCCCTGCGGGGGGAAGTAGGAACCCAACAGACCGACGGGCCCGCTGCTTCTCAAACTCTCACCACTGCCACCCGAGATGCAGGGTTGTGCAGCCCTCCTCGCTCAAACCCTTGCCGGCCGAACACAGGGGCCGGAGAGCAAGAGACAGCTGGGCAGTCTGTCTGGTTTTGTTTTGTCTCGACACGTAGCCTACGGCAGCGGTTCTCAAACTTCTGCCTGTATTAGAATCACCAGGTGTGTGTTTTTGGAAATGCAGGTTCTCGGGCCCCACTCCCAGCCTCCAACTCCCTGACTCTGAGTGGGACCAGGATGCCGTGCTTCTAACGAGCCCTCGCGGGGGTTCTGACGCAGGCGGCCCAAGAAGCACTGTGAAAACGCTGTCCTCTTCTTTCCTCTGTAGACGGGCTGCTGGAGTGTTCACGTGCTAACAGAAAGGCAGGGCTGCATGTGGAATATTCAAGAACGAGTGTTGCTCAGGGTGCTCTCTGCATGCCAGGGAGAGTGGGGTTGACGAGTCACCTCCACGTCGCAGCAAACGGACCCCAGACACTGCAGCTGGACGGCGCTGGCCGTGTTGGTGCCCCAGCTCCCTCTGTGCCAAGGCCCCGCTCACCAAGCCACCTCCTGAGAGTAATGGATGCCCGTGTCAGCTTTCCCACAGGGGACCCGCCAGGACCAGCAAACTGAGAGTTCTGGGTGACACGGGAGTCGCCAACCACGCTACACCTGACAGACTGTCACCTGGATTCAATAGCATCTCCTATCAGTTAGTGAGGGTCACCCAGGGCTTCTCCCCATGCCGGGCCCACAGCCCACAAGTCCCCAGATCTCCAGACGCCCCCTTCTTTGGAAGCGGAGACGCTGAAGGGGAGACTCTCTATCCACCCAGCACGTTCGCCCCAATCCCGGTGCTCCACAGGCCGCCTCACACAGAGAAAGTTCTCAGCAAGACACAAGGGACGGAGCATGTCCACCGAGAAAAGCACCATCACTCGTGACATCATGCCATAAGTGCCCAATACTTCCCCCAAATCCGCCCTTGATACCTGAAAGTCGGCGGGAATCGGGCCGTAGGGCACGCTGAGGTTTAAGGCTTGGACATCCTCCCGCTGCCTGATATCCATCCAGGGGTTGTAGGCCACAGGAGGGAGGCCGGCAGGGACCTGGGAATCGGGAGCTAGGGTGATGTTCTCCAAGGGATACAGCTTCTGAAACTCCTTGGGGGAAAAGCACACAAAGCCAGCAGGCCGTCACTCTTCTGGCAAAGGCACAAGGCTGGGCCTCTACTGCTGTTTACGCTGCCTCTTCTCTAAGCCTGTGATGCGTTTACACAAGTATCTCCCCCACTTGAAAGTCACTCTCACGAGATGCCAGTGGTAATGAAATGAGTTGGCTGGTTTCCTACAAACCGAGCAGCGACAGCTCTCTTCCCTCATAGAGACCGATGCCCTCCTCTTCCCGATGCCACCTCCCCTCCAACTAGAAAAGGTGTGCAGAGGTGTGGTCAGTTCCCCAAATCAGCCTCACGCTCAGAAATTCACTGGGAGAGCACATAGGAGTTCGCACACAGCCCTACTCACGGCTGCAATTACTGCAGCGAAAGGATACCAGCCACAGTCAGCAAAGGGGATTGTCACAGAGGGTATCTGGGGGAAACCAGGCACAGGCTGCCAGAGTCTCCCCCGGTGAAATCGCACAGGATGCGCGCGATTCCACCAGCAACAAGCTGTGTGACAGCATGTGTACAACGCTGCTGCCAGGGAAGCAGAGGCTCGTGATAGCCTCAGCACCCAGGATTTTTACTGGGGCTGGTCATGCAGGCACCCTCTGCCTGCACAGATCAAAATCCCAGACTCGAAGCAGGAAAGGAGGGGTTTCCATGAACAGTTCAGGCCTAGGGAGCCACTTGGCAGTTCTGGGAATGGTGGGAACACTCCCGAGATCCAGGTTCCCAGAGGCCAGGCCAAGGGCCAACCTCAGGAGCAGGCCTTTCAACGGATCACAGTCAGGCCTGGCAGGTTAACTCCTTTTGCACGAGAGACAGAAGTTGGTCTCACTCCATCAAGCGGGGCTGACAGCTCCTGCTAGGAAGGTGAGATCCCCTGGGCCAATCAAAGCGCGACACTCACAGCATCAAAGAGCACGTCTCTGGTCTCCACGCCCATCGCAAGTGACAGGCATGCTTTGCAAAGTCAAAAGGGTGGGCTGCTCAGGCCCGGGGAAAACATGATAGGAAAAAACTGAAAAATATTCTGAAAAAGAAGAGACTACATGCTCTAAATGATACACACGCAAGTGCAGGATCCGAGCCTCCGACAAGTCACATGGTGCCCTGTGTTTCAGGGCTCAGGGGGAAAGGCAGTTACTGAAGAGGGCTTCACATCTCCTGGAATTCTGTACCAAGGACCGCCACTTACTGCAGGCTTCGGTGGCCAGCTCTGCATCCCTTTTCCGTGATGACTCACTAGCCAAACCCAACATTACTCACTGACTTCTAGGGAAAAACCCTCCAGTGGAGGAAGTGGAAGCCAAGCGTTTCTAACAAGATTCTTACGCGTCCTAAGTCTACTTCTTAGCCTTGACCTCTGAAACCCATCTTCATACCACTGAGTATACTCGTGCCATCAGGCGCCCCTGGTGACAAGGGGCGGCAGGACGTGGCCACCTTCACTATGACACAGCTGTCACAGCTGTGCTGGATCAGCTGTCAGCCAGCTCTTCACCTTGGGGTATCTGAAGGGGATGTGCGGCTTATGATAGCCCACAGCCAGGAAGAAAGGACTGGCAGATGTTTTCATCTTTCCCAACAACCGTATGGCTTGCTCGGTGCTCTGCTTGTCAGGCAGGGTGCCCTCGGGCACATCTGCCACATCCACAGGGCACAGCAGGTTGGCATGGAGTTCTCCGTCTGGTCCCCTACAGGTCTTTCAAAACAAAACATACAAAGTCAGCTTTTTAAGTGCAAGAAACAGAAGTCGTGAAAGTTCCACACAATGGATATAACGTTTATGTTTCGAGCACACTAAGTATGAGGCGTTCAGACTACACGGGCGCATAGGCGTAGAAGCAAACAGAGACGTGATTCTTCTTTCCCAGGCAGAGGCCAGAATCCACCAGAACTTAGTTAGCTTCTTGCTGTTCATTCTCTGTCTCTAGGTCATAATTAATGAAAGGAAACCGAAGTAAACTCACGATCAAAAAAAAAATCTGCCTCTAATTCAACAATAAAAAAACGCAGACCAAGGACTTGAATAGATATTTCCCCAAAGATACACAAATGGCCAATAAGCACATGTAAAGATACTTCTCATCATTAGTCATTAGGGAAAGGAAAAAAAAAATCTGTTTTCAATTTCAACGACAGACTAAAGCTTATAAGTGACAGGGTCACAGTTAACTAGATAAAGTGACAGTTCATGGAATTTCCAGATCCTCAACTCCACCACGCACAGGATGGAACCTACCGCTTCATTTCTTAAAGTGGCCACGTCGGCCACAAGGCCAATTTCAATATTTTTAAACCACGAGTTCTACCTCACAAATACCCAGAGGCATCTCACCGAGGAGCATCCTTTCACAGCTCTGCCCTGTCCACACCGCCCTGGGCAGGGCAGCCGCCATCTGCCCCCCAGTACCTGCTCACGCTCACATGGTCTGCAGCACCGCCAGGGATTTGGTGCAGTCAGACCCACCGTCTTGAGAATGACGTGGGACATGGGGACAGGGACCTGGCATTTGTGAGGCTACTAAGAGTAGCAAGATGACTTCAGGGAACAGAAGCATTGAGATGGGGTCTTCCGAT